GAGGGAATGTAAATAATTTACAATTGTAAAAATATGATACGTAATGGCATAAATTAAAATCTAAAAAAATTTTATATCTAAAATAGTATGTTCATGATTTCAAATTTAGGAACTTCAAGAAAGATTGTTTGAAACGTTATGATGTTAAGCTTGAAGAAAATTTCTATTTGTATCCCTAGAAAATATATATTGGAGTACACTGTACTTAAATCTTGTGAGTTATGGGGCATTGAGATCCCTAGGGTAAATGATGTGTTCAGTTTGTTTGTGTTAAAATCACGTGTGAGACACGACTCTGTAGGTTAGTGTGTGTATTTCCCTTTGTTCATAAATTGCATAGACAATATATAATTGGTTAATGGATATTATAGGGTTGGCCGGAATTTTCCAATTTCCAGTCTTTATGTGACGGTATAAATTAAGGAAGGGCATGTAGCAAATTGCTTTGATTACTGTGCGGTTTGTTTACGTTTAGTGATGCATACATACAAATAAAGAACCATTGGCATTTTCTTTTCTCACATTAAGTTAGTTTGTAAAATGTCATGCTTGTGTTATTATATAAAAAAAAAAATGAGAGTTTGTAGTACATTTTTGCCCAAGTAATCTGTCAATTACCCATTAGCACAGTCCCATCATTTTTATGAAATAAGCTGTATGCATACTTGCACGTGAATAAATTCTAAAGAAGAAAGTGTTGTCCCTAACCGTCCTAGTATAGCTCACACAATATCAGTGTTTTCATCAAGGGTTAGGTTTTTTTATAATTATGTAAAACAAAAAGACAAGTTGAATTATTTTAAATATGTAACACTGACTGCGTCAGTTGCATATTATTGAGAAATGTAGCACACGAGAAGACTAAGAGATTAAAATGAGCAAAATATTTCCTTAAATATTTTGCTTAAGAAGGGTGTGGGCTGGCACACTTGAAATGAGATCCACACAGACTGGTAATGCAAAAGATTTAAAAATATTATCAGTTTCAATTTATCTGTATTTCTTTAGGATGCTGCTACGTATATAAGTAAATAGATGTAACTGCTTTTGTAATAGAACTTTTGAAGCTCACATTTAAACTTTACATATAGCAAAATAGAATTTCATTTTTCCTAGTAAAATTAAAATTTTCAGTCTATGAAATACTGCTGCCACCTGGTGAATGTATCCCCTTATCAAGGATCCAGTTGTATATCGTATGATTTTAGAAGGCTATATAGACAATTTGTTGCTACTCAAATTCATCTTGTTCAGATTCAAGCCCTCACATCATTTTTCAGATTATGCTTTAAAAAAAGTAGTATGAATTATTAGTACATGATGAACCATGTAGCTATTTATGATATCCAGATGTAAATGATTTACTGTATGTGCAACAGATAAATCATATTCTGATACAACATTATATAATTATTTATACACGATGAACCATGTAGCTGTTCATGATATCCAGATGGAAATGATTTACTGTATGTGCAACAAATAAATCATATTCTGATACAACATTATATAATTATTTGTACACGATGAACCGTGTAGCTGTTCATGATATCCAGATGGAAATGATTTACTGTATGTGCAACAGATAAATCATATTCGGATACAACATTATATAATTAACAGCTGACGTGAAATGTATCACGTACATACTATGAAGTGTACAACATAACAGACATACTAACAGAATGCTGGGCTGTACGTAATGGTTTCTTCTAGATATATATAAACGATGAATAGTGAATTGCGGTTAAAACATTTTAGATCCGGGTGGAAATGATCCATAGTTTGAACCACTGGTGTAAAAAATAAGTGGGGCAGCTACCCCAAGGTCCTCTTAAAATTGGTTTTTGAATATTAGAATTTGGTGGAAAAATATTCCAAAACAAGAAAAAAAGTTTTATTGAGAGAAGCAACAATAATTATGCCCCTTTGAGAGAACTATAGAAACTATAGCATCATAATTATTAATATTTCCGTATAGTGTACCCATACACAATCTTATGAAGCATTTCAATTGTTTGACTGTTCAAATGTGGAAGAATTAGTAGAAATTTTAGAAACATCAGTACTTTAGATTGAAAACTAAATAAATGAAAATATTTTAAACTTTTTCAGTAAGACTTTATATTTTTCAGTGTTTGTATTTATGCCAGTAAGGGGTTGTTCACAATTTATGCCATTTTTCACGAGCATACAAAATGTACGCTTTTTCATGATCACTGTCTTACAGAAAGCCAGCGTTAAAAATCGGTTAATGGGTCCACAAGAGTTGCAGAAGTTGCTACTTGTGATTTATTGATACCATATAACACCCTTTCCACATTCAAAAAACCCAACTTGATAATTGTTTTTAAAACGCTCAAGAAAGATAAGAATGTAACATATAAATAATTTCATATGTGGTGAATGAAACTGAAAGTGTTTAGTGCATCCACTTGGGGGTCAACCTGTTTCGCGTTTTGAGCGAAACCATCAAAATGAGTTAGGCCAGTTCGTAGTGTCTGTAGTGAATGATAAATATTTTTAAACAAAAATATGTTATTACCCATTTAAGCCATCTCCAGCCATTATTAGTCTCAAAGTGGGTTCCTCGTCATCGAATTATCATCCATGGGTTAACAAGTTAAAACATGTTTGCTTTCACATTATCACATTTCTTTGCTTCTTCACAGGATTGTTTTCTATGCTTAGACCTTTGCATTTATTGTGTAGCTCTGAAGTTTTCAGTCGGAGTTAGGCTAAAGCAAATTTATTTAGAAAGTTTAGTGGTAATAGGACAGACAGTTCAATTTCTTCTATGTACTTGTCACGCATCATTTTACGTTTACCAAAACTTAACTAAGAGTTTCATTCATACCCCAAGATTAGGACCAGTGTCATGCGGCATTTTTGTATGTTACTGTCACGCATTACATAAATTTAATTAAGAGCTATATACATATCCCAAGCTCTGCAGAAGAGCACTTTTTTATGTGTGTGTGTGTCAATCATCATTTTGGATTTATTAAAGTTTTAAAAAAAATCTTATCTATATACCCATAGCTATGCAGAAGACAAGTTTATGCTATTTCATTCATCTATAAAGGAAATTTGAAGACATTACTGTTATTGAAATAACATCAATTTGCTCAGTTCTAAGCTTAGTGGATTAGAAGTAAGCTTGAGCTCTAATAATGCCAAAATCTTGGTTTCGATTTTCTTCGATGAACACAGCACAGATAGCCCATTATGTAGCTATACCTTTAAAACAAACAAGCTAAACAAGCAGCATTGAGTACTTATAGCTTGTTTATTCCATTCAATTTTAAATGATACCTGATCAGTTTAGCAAGTGAAGAAAGTATGATGCTA